GAGATTCAATCTTCTGCATGATCTAATTTGCTTTTAATACTTTCAAGGGAGGTTTTGATTTCCTGTATTACAACATTCATCTCTATCAGTTCCATTTGATTCTTTTTTTTTTTTTTTTTGAGAGGTTTTTGCTATAGGTTTGTGCACTTGCCAGAAAGACAGAGAGAGACAGAGAGACAGAAAGGGAGAAATCACCCCCCAGGGAGGATGGCCACGCTGCAATCCCTTCTCCTCCATTCTCCTCTTGGGATCTTGGGCATGCAGGTACAAGTGCCCAGTGTGAGTTTAAGCCAATGGGTCTGGAACTCAAACCGCAGTCGACTACATGGGAGTCCAACGACATAGCCATTATGCTAACTGCTGGTCCCCCATTTGATTCTTTTTTGTGATGTTATCTCCTTTCAGATCATGCAAGAACTTCCTTACCTCCTGGAACTCGTCATCTCTTTTCTCCTGCATATTTCGGAGTTCGTTGTCTCTCTTCTCTTGCATCTGTTAGCTTTGTCACTGTAAATATTCTAAATTCTTTATCAGACTTTTCCATGAGTTCCATTGTACTGTCTGTGGATGAAGACGAGTTGTTCTTTTCCCCTGGGGGAGAGGTGTTTTCTTGGTTTCTTATAGTTCTTGTGCCCTGCAGTGATTTCTGGTCATCTGCTGGGTTGCGCGTTTCTTCCTAATATCTTGAAGTTCTATCTGAGCGTTGGATGTGCAGGAGGAGGTGATCTGCAATCTTGCTGCCATTCCGTTTTTCTCTCTTTGTGTGGCAGATTCAGTGGGCATCGAGGAATATTCAGACCCTAACAGTATTTAGCTGTTTGACTACAATTCACTTAGACTTGTCTAGACACTCAGTGTGTGAAGGCCAAGCAGAAAAAACAAAACAAAACAAAACAAAACAACAAAGGGAAAGAAAACAGAGAAAGAGAAAAAAAATTTTTTTAAACAAAAACATGAAGACTGTGCAGTAGCACTAGTTCCCAGCTCCAGTGGAGGGGTCAGTCTTCTGTGAGGCCTGCAGGTTCGCCTCTCCTGGATGGGAGGAAGGAAAGGTGAGAATTAGCAAGAGAAAGGAGGATCTGAGAGCCAAGAAATACTTTACCTCAAGTAATAATACAAAATAACTTAAAAATTTGAAAGAGAGAGACAGAAAGATTCGGGGAGCCCTCCCACTCGTGAATGGGGTCTGGAGGGTGACGTCTCAGCAGAAAATCTTCATTGTTTAATCCCTGGAGGCGCTAGTTCCCAACTCTAAGGGAGGAGTCTGTCTTCTGTCCCCACCCCTTGGCTGGCAACTTTGATGAATGGTATGAATGCTGCTGTCTGGCTGCTGAATGAATGAATTTTCTTCCTTTGTCTCATCAGAGAGACTTTGTAAACGGACTGGCTGCAGGTCCAGCTGGGTGACAGAACCCAAGTTCAGCTGCCCACTGCTTGGAAGGCCAATACTCAAGAGACCAGTGTGGGCGAAAGGAAAGGGAGATTCCTCAGGAGCTTTCGTTCCCCTGGGAAGATGGTGGGTGAGTGTTCAAAGACCACCTCCAAAGTCACGGGCCAGGACGTGGGATTTTAAAGAGAAAGGAAGGGAAGGGGGAGGGGAGGGCACCACGTGCTCTTCTGCACAGCCACACAGAGACACGTGGGGTCATGCCCTCCCCAGACCAGCATCTCCTGCCTCCATGTTTTCTTAGACAGATCTGCTCTCTGACGGTGGTTTGAAGGCCCAGCTCCTGTAAAACCTCAGCGAAGTTACGATTAGGATTTTTGTTTTTGCTACAAGTTAAACAGTAAAGCACGGTCAGTTAGCGAAAGGGAAGCAGGCTGTCTTTTTAAAAAATTATATTGTTATTATAATTCTTATTTATTTTATACATTCAATTGCTATACATCATTTGGCTTGCCAAGGGAATTTACTCAACATGAAATATACCTCAGACCAGTCCGGTTGAGAATACCATCAACAGGCACTAAGCCACTATGGGGGCAGGCCGTCTTCAGGGGCCCTTCTACCAGTACCGTTTACTGCAGAGCTACTTTCGTTCCTTCTTGTAGCTCGGGGGCTGCTTGGCAGTTCTCCCCTCTCAGATGAACTCCAGCTTCTCTCCCAGTCCGTCACTCTCGGGCAAAGGAGCTGCCCATGCAGACGAGGGCACCGACACAGGGCACCTGGCTTGTCTGGTAGAGCTGCTGATTGCACCGTAATAAACGGGCTGCTTTATAAACAACTGAAGTTGATTTCTTTTTTTTTTTTTTTGAAGCGGTTTTTGCTATAGGGCGCATGTGCTCACCAGACAGACAGAGGGAGACAGAGAGACAGAAAGCGAGAAATCACCCCCCAGGGAGGATGGCCACGCCGCAATCCCTTCTCCTCCATTCTCCTCTCAGAATCTTGGACATGCACGCACGCCCGGCGTGGGTTTTAAGCCACCGGGTCCGGGATGCGAACCGTGGTCGACTACATGGGAGTCAAGCAACATAGCTATTATGCTAACTGCTGGTCCCAAACAACTGAAGTTTATTTCTGACAGTTCTGGCAGCTGGGAAGCCCAAGGCCAAGGCACGGGCAGATTTGGAGCCTGGAGAGGGCCGTGTGCTCAGGTGCCCTGCCTTCTCCTCTCATCCTGTGTGACAGAAAGGGGCAAGCAAGCTCCTGCGAATCTTCTCTGAAGGTGCTCACTGTTTTCCTGAGGGCTCTCCTTCAGGATTCATCGCTGCCTCTTCAAACCATCGCGGGAGTGCTAGGACTTGGACGTACACACCTCAGGGAGCGCGAGCACTCGGATGCAGCGCCTGCCCCTCTGAACCTCAGCGTCTCCTGCAAATTGGGGAAGAGGGACCAGAGGGCCCCCCAGCTTTCCCGGCCCGTAGGTCTTAAGTTCCCCTTCTGCACACAATTAAATTCTCTGCGGCTTTCGCATGTCTCTCCTTCCCGTGCTTCTGCTTTGCTTTGCAAACTAGGTGCTGTGGGAACAGGCAGACTGTGACTCACCTCTTCTGACCGCGAGACAGGCAACTGCCTCTGCTGGGAGAGAGCAACTGGGAAGGACGGGGACGGCGCTGCAGGGCGAGAAGCCACTGAAAATGCAGGAGCTGGCCATGCCTGTGGGGAGGCTCGGACCCCAGCCTTGCCTTCTCAACGACTCTACTCCATCCAGGCGATGGAGGGGATGACACGGGGTGGGCAGGGCCCTGAAGCTGACACAAGAAAACAGACTGATCCGAGTAAACACAGCCCTGAGGAAAGCACCCGCAGAGCCGTAGGATTTGGGGGCGCGTGCTCAGACGATAAAGTTACAAAGGAAAGCAAGGAGACCATTCTTGCTGCAGCGAGGCCAGCAGCTCCTCCCAGGGCACGAACGAGGGGTGGGACAGTGGAAGGGGCCAGCAGGGTGGCCCTGGGATGCCGGCGATGTCCTGTGTCCTGGAGGGGGCTCGTTTGTTAAAAACTGCCGAGTCATTTGTTTGGGGGCACTTTTATCTACGTCTTATATTCCTCCCACCCAGAAAAAAAGGTTAGAAAAACCCCTACATGGGTCAAGGGTCTCCATTTCCTGGAATTCCCACCTCTTCCAGCTGCAGCCACAAAGCTGAAAAGAACCTTCTGGGGGCCAGAAACTGGCATAGTGGCTGAAGCCCTGACTCCCACGTAGCTGACTACAGTTGGAGTCCTGAAGCCAGTGACTTGAAACTCACGGTGGGCATGTGTGCGTGTGCGCCCAGATTCCCAGGAGGAGACTGCGGAAGGGATTGTGGCATGGCCATCCCTCAGGGAGAGTGATTTCGCACTCACTCTCTTCAGTGAGTGCACACGCCCTACAGCAAAACTCTCAAAACAAAAAATACAAAAAACTACCTTCCGTGGAATCTGGGTGCACAATCCTTTTTGCACCACCATCCTGGGCCTCTCTAGGGTGGACCATCTCAGGGCTGGCGTCCTCACTCCACCTGTCCTGTTCAGCTGGACTCCTGGGACCAGAGTGGGCACACGCAAAACCCTGGAGCCTGGGGGCCCTTCGCGCTCTGGAGTAACGAGGTCACGTGAGCTAAGTGGTGAGGAACTCAGCCCTGGGCCCAGAAAGCCGCGAGGAAGGGAGAAATGTCCACCCCTTTCAAAACCTGCCCTTTCCTTTCTGACTCTCCTCTCTGCCAAGTCCCACTGCATGGTACCCACAGCCGCCGTGGTGTCCCCTGGTCTCCTTCCACCTGGGCTCCCTCTGTGCCCGGGCCGTATTAACACACAGAACCCACACCCCACTGCCCCCGCGTCCCTCTGCTCAGCCCTCCTGAGGCTACACCTCCCACCTGGCGGAGAGCAGCCCCGCCCTGCCCGCGTGTCCCCCATGGAGGTTCCTGCCACCGGGAGCTCCAGATGTGGGGAGGTGTGTGTCTCCCTGTGGTCAGGGATTCCTAGGGGGCAGCGTCCAGGTCTGGGATGGAACTTGTACTGAGAGGAGGTGGCCATGTGGCACTGGAGGTGGGACAGGCACCTCTCACCTGCCGGCCTCCATGGCTCATGCTCTGAGTCCCCACCCTGACCCTCACGAACATCGACCTGTGAGACCCACTTTGACCTTGCAGAAAATGCCACCCCAGAGGAAGGGTGTGGACAGGGAGCAGGGCTGGGGGGCCCTGTGCAGTGTGGACTAGGGTGAGCCTGTCCCCCTGGCTCTGGGTCCCGGAAGCAGAGGGGCGGAGGATGGGGATCTCCAGGGACTGTCCCTGTCCCACAGTGACTGGGTCTGAGGTTCCTCCTGGGGAACTCACTGCTCGGACCTCCCCGTCTTCCTGTGGGGCCTCCCTGGGTCTGGCAGCTCTGAGCTCCTGACAGCAGAGCCCTGAGGAGCGGCGTCCTGCCCTGGACCTGCCCCCATGCTGCTGCGGCTGCTGCTGGCCCCGCCGGGGGCGGGGGCGGCCCTGGGGGGGG